GCTCGAGGCAAGGGGATCCATTGGGTCCGTTTCTGTTCGCGTTCACACAGCAGCTGGTTATGGAACCAACCAAAACGGAGTACGCCGACTTACTCTTCCTCAGCTATGCTGACGATACGTATATCCTGGGGCCTAGGGAACGGGTTCTAGCAGCCTATGAGGCCTTGCGGGAACGACTGGACGGGCTGGGTTTGGAGGTGCAGCCGCATAAGTGTAAGCTATGGGAGCGAGGGAGGGACCAGGATGGGGAGGAGAGAAATGAGACTGTCCCGCCCGGCATGCAGCAGACATGGACGGGGCTCACTGTGGTAGGGGTGCCCATTGGGGAGGAGGACTGGGAGGTGGCTAGCCTGCGTCGCCGGCTGACGGAGCTGCATGCACCTGTCCCCTGGCTTCCTCTGCTTGACCACCCACAGATTGCGTCCCATTTGTTGGCGATCGCAGTGTCGGCGCGCCCGATCTACCTCACACGGACGATGCCTCCACGACCTGAGGTTGTGGAGGCTTTTCGGGACTGGGACACGAAGCTGGAAGATTGTTTCGAGGAGCTGTTTCCAGATAGTACCTGGGATCACGATTCGGGGAAGTCCCAGATGGCTCGTTTACAGCTGCACCTTCCTGCCAGACTCGGGGGGTTCGGCATTCGATCTGCGGCTGACCTTAGTCCTCTGTCGTATGCATGTGGCTGGTGCCAAGCAGTGAGCGATGTGGCTCGGTTGGGGGTGGCAGGTGAGGAGCGGATGTTTGAGGAGTTTTTCCGCACGCCCGAGGCTACGACCTTGTTGGACCCCTGGTTTGCGAGAGCAGTGGATCTGCTTCCACAGTCGGTTCGGCAGGAGATGCCACCCCTTGCCTTGTGCACCGCTGATCCGCCTATGCTGCTCTTCCCCACACAACACCGTCGCCTGGCGGTTGAGAGCCTCCAATCTCTTCGAGGCATGGCCCACAACGATGCCACCCTGGCCCGTTTGACATCCCTTCAGGGCCCGGGGGCTGGGGCGTGGGTTTCTGCCGTTCCTTCGCACGAGGAGGCTACCTTCACCGCAGCCGAGTGGAGCATCTGCGCGTCCATGCGCCTAGGCCTCCCTATTCAGCAGCTGATAGTGGCCGGCAAGTGCGCGTGTGGGTTTGAGTTTGCTGATCCCTCTGACCCGCATCATGCCCTTCGCTGCAAGTATCAGTATGCACCTTCTCGGGTTCACGATGCGGTTAAATTTGTGGTGGCGAAGATAGCTAAGGGTGCGGGTGGGATTGTGACCATGGAAGACGACACGTTGCTCCCAGGGAAGAGGGTTGATGTGGCGGTTCGGAAACTGAGGGAGGGGGAGGAGCACGCGCTGGAGGTTAGTGTGGTAGATCCTATCTCGCTATCCGCGCAGCACCATGGACAGATTGGTCGCAAGGTGGGTTTTGCCGCGAGAGAGAGAGAAAAGCGGAAGACGGCGGACTACAAATCGCTTCTACAGCGGCATGGGGGAGTGCAGTTCACACCACTCATTGCTGAGACATGGGGATGCTTGGGGGGGAGTTTTGGACGGTGGCTTAAGAAGCAGGGTGACGCGCAGATCGAGATAGCAAAGACGAAAGGGGCGGCGCGAGCTACGGGAAAGGGTTTCTCGGCTTATTTGCTCGGATCGCTCAAAGCGGCTGTGGGTGTGGCTTTGCAACGGGCTCAGGCGCGTGTGATCTTGTTACGCGCTGCGTCGATGATGAGAGGCCCAGAGGCTGTTTGGGTGGAGCGGGAGGATGTTGAGGAGGAGATGGGATGGGATGCTCCGTGGGCGGATGCACCATACTTGGTAGACATGCGGGTTTAGGGAGTGGGTTTAGGGGGGGAGGTTTGGTTCGATGGGAGTGCAGTTGGGGTGCTTTGATGGGAGGGCTTGATGGTGTTTTAAATGTGTGTGCTATTGGGGTTTTCTTGGGGTTGTGTGTGCTACTTTTTCTTCCTTCTTCCCTGTTTTTCTTCCTCCTATCATTTTTCCCCTATTCCCCTCCTTCTTTCTTCCTCTCTCCTTTTTTCTACTCACGTTATTCCTCCTTTTCTCCTCTCTTCCCGTTTCCACTCCTTTTCCTTGCGTAATGAAATTCCATTTCTCTAAAGCCTCTCAATTACCTGTTCTGTACAGTAAAACAGACGTGTGATAATTTTGACCCAAGAGAATGATTCACCAGCTTCTTGCAAAAAAAAAAAAAAAATGACATAAAGAATGAATAACAGTTTTAACAATGACGCATTACTATGGTAAGCAACGTACACGCGGGCGAGTGTGAGATAAGAACAGGTTCCAAGGCAACTAACAAAAACAGGTCGAAGTGATGGCTACGCTGACAATAACCGAGGTAAAACAGATATCGAACAAGGAATGACGCGTGTGGTGGTTGAATGTGTGGTGCAACTATGGCAGTGACGCGATTATTTTCTCGTGCACGTGGCGATATCATTGCAGCTGGCTGCCACGTATTTCTCATGCCAGGTGGCGCGAAACTACTGTTTTTTTTTTTTTTTTTTTTTTTTTTTTTTTTTTTTTTTCCGGGTTTGGCTGAGTTAGTGTTCAAGGAAACGACTTGGCGAAGTTCGTAGCGAGATCCAAATTGATTTGCTATGGACAAAATGTGCGATATCGTTACTTACGACATTTTACATATTGTATTACTTGAAGTTTTGTTTACGCTTAAAAAACCGATTGAAGTTTTGTTTACATATTGTATTAACAAACTCATTGTGCAAGAAGAAAAATGGAATTAAATTAGCGTATACACTGTTTTTGAGCAATGTTATTTTCCTGAATAGTGATTTCCAGGTGCTGAAAACACCTTAAAAAAACATAGGAAGTGTATATGTATTTCTCAAAGTCTGAATGTCAAATCACAAGATAGTAACGAGGTTGCGCTAGCAGGGTCAATTACTAAAATGGCACAAAGAAAACCGCACACCTAAAACGTCAAACGCCACGCATCGAAACCGCGTCCTCAAGCCGCAATAGGGCCAGATACGTCGTCACCTTCGTGCAAGTCAGATTTGGGTACAAGTCAGTTTCAGGTCATTTCATCATTTAGTGTAAAAGCGCCACTAGACGAAAATGTCTCAGAAGTGTCTTTCAGGATAGTTTCGGGACAGATTCGCGCCAGTTTTAGGACAGTACGATTTCGGGACAGATTGGGGACCAAGCAATTTTGCTCCTACGGTAGGAGGAATATGAAGCTTGTCTATCGCGCAGATCTAGAACCCCCCGTTAGTACCTACTCTTCGCGTGAGTACGCTGCTGATTTATTTTCTTCGTAACGCTTCTTCGAGCCACTTCTCATCCGCTTACCATTCCTTGGCCATTATCCCTTAATTACGCAGCCCTTAACTTCGAATTGGCACGATGGAGTCTCGCACAAACATAAATAGCCTGCCAGACGAGCTTCTTCTTGTGATTCTGAGGCGGTCCTTTGAGCAACCCATTTCAAACGAGTCGTACATAGATAGCTTGTGGACATGCAGTCATGTATGGTCACCTATCAACACCATTACAGACCAAGCAGTTCTGACAATGAAGACATCGATTCCAGCCCCTGCAGCTGCCGAGGTGATTCAGACTCTCCTCACCGCGCCCGTCTGCCGTCGTTGGCATCAAGTAGCAAAGCTTCTAGTCACAATCCTTTCAATTAAAGAAGACCTCGTTCTCTCCCTTGAATATCTCTCAGCCGCCGTCGCGTGCTTCCCGAGCCTCACCCATTTGCATCTCAGCGACAACAGCGATAAGTCGCTCGACGACGCCTTCCTCCCCCACCTCGCTTCGTCATGCCCGAAGCCGACAAGTCTCCACGTGGGGAGGAACTATGCACCGCGATTGCCCTTCGACCTTAGCAGCGGCTCCGCTAGGCAATATCGTAGAAAGGAGGAGCATCTGATAGCCACGCAGGGCCTGGAATGGTTCTTTCAAAAGCTTCCTGAGTTGGAGCAGCTTATCCTCTTCTGCCTCCACCAAAACACTGAGCTACCGAATTCGTTTTTTCAGTTGAGGTGTCTGCACACTTTTCTTCTCACCGATGCTACAGCCATGGAGAAAACTGGTTTCACGAACCTCACAGCCCTGACCACCCTTTACGTCAACTGCCCCATCAACCATCTGCACATGGACACCCTCCTTCACATTCCACGACTCGCCCATCTCTCCACCTCCACCCCACGCCAGACCCACCAAACGCTGCCGCCCTGCCTAAAATCGCTCAGTTTTTTCAATTCTTGTCCTGTTTTGGAGACCATCTTCCCACCAGCTTCGCCGTTCTCTGGGCTGGAGGAGTTGTTGATCACAGGCTGCAGTGAGTTGAGGGGCCTTCCGGACCGCTTTGGGGACTTGCTGCCCTATCTTTGCAAGCTGACCATTCGCAATTGTTACCATTTTACGCAATTGCCTGAGAGCTTCACTTGCCTTAGCCGATTGGAAACCCTCATAATCTCTTCGTCTAACGCATTTGCGTTGCCCAGAAACTTCGGTCATTTGCCTGCCCTCAAACTGCTCGTGCTCAAGGATTTGAAGTTTATCGAACTTTTTCCTTCCTTCTGTCGTCTCACGTCTCTTGAGGCACTCTTAATTGTTCATTGCTACTTCCGTCAGCAGCTGCCAGCAGGGTTCGGCTGTCTCACTTCTCTCAAGGCGCTCTGCATCAACTCGTTCGATCTTGCCTTGCCAGAAGACGTTGGAGTCCTTGCACGGCTTGCGGCTATCAGGTTGTACAACTACCACTCTCCCCTCCCGGCTTCGTTCTGCCAGCTGTCGTCACTGACGAGCCTTGAGCTGGAGAAATGCGGTGGGAACGGACTTTCAGAAGCCCTGGGAGAGCTGAGCAGCCTACGGGAGCTGAAGATTGTTGATTCTTTACTCCTCATGCTTCCTTGCTCGCTGACATGGCTCTTAAGCCTTGAGACATTGGAGGTCAGAGGCTGCAGGTTTCTCTCTGAAGTACCCTCTCGGCTGGATACGCTCGTGGGGCTCAAGAGCTTAGTGCTGATGGAGTGTCGGCAGCTGAGCAGTCCCCCTGCTGGTTTGCCACCTTCTCTTGAGGTCCTCTGCTTGGGGCCCTTCAAGGAGGGTTCTTCCCATGTGGTGGACATCTCCCAGATGTCGCAGCTGAGGGTGCTGAAGCTGAACTGCGTGGAGTGCACGGAATTGCCGTGTCTGCAGCAGCTGCAACAGCTGGAGATGCGTTTGGATGGTGACAATCGGGAGCTACCAGTCCCCCTGACCTTTCTCCCTCGCCTGTGCAGCTTGCTGATAGAGGCGCTGGGAAGCTTCAGCTTGCCGGAAAACATGGCGGCCGCGTTGCCGGAGCTGCGGCAGATGGAGCTTCTTTCTTGGTCACAGGAGGAGCTACCAGGAAGCATAATGGGGCTGACCAAGCTGACGTCATTGAGGATCAACGCACCCCATCTGGTGGCGCTACCTCAGGGCATGAGCCGCTTGTCTCGGTTTGTTGAATCAAACCTTGCTGAATCATGCTCGTGGAGATCAGGCAGAGCTCCGTCAGGAAGGTCTTCGAGGTAATCCCCCCCGAGCTCGTCAAGAGTGTCATCTCCCACGGGGATCTGCTCCTCCATCATGACGTGGTCAGGGTTGTGCTCAGTAGCCATGATTGCGAGGAGTGAACGTAAGCTAGCCAGAGACTGGAGCTTATACCCAAGAATGAAGGGAGAGGATGAGGTAACCGAATCAGGGAACAAGAAAGCGTGATCAGGCAAAGAGCCAGAACGTGCAGCGACGGAATGGAGGCGGTTCGGGAGAAATTTGGTGCCTTGGCAATGGCCTTGGCAACCAGAAGAGAATGACTGGGCGCCAGATCGGCAGCCGGAGTCGGCAATGCGGGCATGTGAGTTAAGTTTGGGAGACAGGTTGCCACATCGTGTTGGCTCTGACTGGGATGAGTCAGGCCAGGGTCAGGAGGACGAAACAAGAGGGGCTTGCATGGAAAATTGCAGCCAAAAAAGGTCCAGCAGGACGAACAGAGGAGGTGGATGGGGGAGACGGTTGGATAAGAAAGCAGACTCCCGAAATAACGGGAGTGACCAACGCCAGCGGAAGACAGGGAATAGCTAGCAGAGAAACTCACCTTTCCCAGAAGTTTGGAGCAGAAAGCCACGTCATGAAGAAGAAGAAGACACCAAGCTTACCTCCCAGTAGATCATCGAACAATGTACAGCGAACGCAAAAGGCATTATCCACGTGACGATCTAGCGGTGTAGAAGGACAGCCGAGGTTGTTGTAAGCGAGGACGAGGAGCAACGGGGAGGCGAAGAGCTTCGTCATTTTTTCGGTATCTGACACCATGGACGGTGATGCGCCGTCCATTCCTGTCGGTGCTCAGCCGACTCCGACTGGTGAACCCGCGGCTAAAAAGCTGTGCAGTGAGGGGCAGCCCTCGGCTGCTGGTACCTCAGGCATCGCCTCTGCGTCTCACTCGGCGCCTCCTCCGATTCCCCGCACGAGCTCTTCCGGTAGCTCTGCCGCCACGGGTCCTACGCCTGTCCGCATGCCTGCTCCCTCCGCGCCTCGTTCGTCGCCTGCTTCTCGCTCTCGGCCTGCGCAGCCGGAACCTGAACCTGAGCATGCTGGGCTGGACTGGTCACTGGCCTTGCTCCTAACGCTCGCTATCGGAACCTACGTCGCCACCGTACGACGGTTGGAATGGTCCTGCAGGCGATGACGCGTAACACGCAGTCGATGGTGGACGTTATCTTCCCCGAATCCTCGGCGGAGGAGGTTCGTGCAGCGGTTCTTGCGCGTATCTCATCCCTCATCAATGGCCAGGCCTTCAATGGCGTCATTCCTTCGTTTGAATCTGCAGCTGGTGAGGCCTTGTGGCTCCCCCGCCGCACCTATTCCATGCATTCTTTCTCTTGGCCATCAGTTAACGATGCTAGAATTTTTCGTAGTCTGTTTCCGGTTACAGTGTGATTGGCTAACAATCGTGCGATGGAGATCAAAGTGTTCACTGACCCCAATGAGGAGTTCACGACCGCCCGTTCCAGGGGTGACACCCACCAGGTCCTCCGCAACGTGCCTCTAGGCTACTCTCCCGATCGTCTGCGCAGCAACATCCTGGCAGGCAGGACTGAGGCCGGCCTGCCTTGGTTGTCCGACCTCCGCCTGTTCCACCGGCTCAAAGATCCATACGACGAGTTTGCGTATTCTCAGCTGCTCGGCCTTCTTGTAGCGGCGGATGGCGACGCTGGCTTTGCTCGCGAGGTCAGGTCGCGTGCAAGTCATCAGGTACATGAGGCAGCCTACAAGCTCTGGGTACGGGCCACTCGGCTCTACGGACTCGTCCGAAGGTGGAGCTGAGAGCGAGTGGCTGGTAGCCAGAGGTGTGGCCTGTGGTGAGGAGAACTGGAAGCCGAAGCGCTGAAGGACCTGCTGCACCATGTGTGACTGAGTCAGGGTGATGGTGCGGCGAGCTCTGTCCCGGGTGATCTGCAAGCCAAGGTAGCTACGCAGTTCACCCAGGTCAGTGCAGGTGTGTCTCTTCTGCAGCTCCGACTTCACACGAGCGAGTGCCTCAGTGTCAGCAGTAGCAAAGACCAAGTCGTCGACGTACACGAGAATGTAGAACGGCGGCAGCGACGTGTCTGTGCGCAGAAACAGCGACGGGTCAGCAGTAGACGGCGCGAACCCAAGAGCCGCAAGTGTAGTCCTCAGTGTGTCGTGCCACTCACGTGGCGCCTGGCGGAGACCGTAGACTGGCCGGCGGAGACTCCACTGGGTACCAGGGGGAAACGACCCAGTAAAGCCAGGTGGGCGGCACAGCCAGATCTCCTCGTGCAGGCTGCCCTGCAGGAACGCTGTGCTGAAGTCAAGAGAGTGAAGCTCGTAGTCACGCTGAGCAGCAACGTGCAGCAGAACCCGAAGAGTGGTCATCTTCGGGGTGGGGGAGAAGGTCTGGAAGAAGTCGACCCCCTGACGCTGACTGAAGCCTCTAGCAACGTAACGAGCCTTGAAGACAGGCGGAGAACCTGGCGGCCGCTTCACCCTGAAAATCCACATGCCATCGACGATGTTCGCCCCAGGAGGGGGAACCTCGTCAACGTAGGTGCCTGTGGACTTCCAGGATGCCATCTCTGCGTCCATGGCTGTCTGCCACTGAGAGGAGTAGGGACCCGAGATCGCCTCTGCGTAAGTGCGCGGAGTGGGGATGTCTAGTGCATCCGGGTCTCCCTCAGGGGCAAGCAACCAGGCCACGAGATGAGGTACAGCAGCCGCAAGAGAGTCAAAGTCCTCCTGCCTGTCCTCAAGGACGTCCGTGCCAAGAGCACACTCACCCCCGACGGACGGAGGACAGACAGACGCAGACTCAGACTCAGCAACAAGGCTAGCAGCGTAGTCTAGACGACAGGCAGCAGCAAAGTCAACCAACTCAGCGACCAGAGCAGACGCAGCCGAGGACTCAAAGGTAGGGTCAGTGACAACAGTAGCGAGGAGACGCGTGACTGTAGGGTGCTCAGCGCGATACCGGTCAGACTCAGGGTCCGGAACGGCAGGCAAAGAGGACGCAGGAGGAGACGGTAGAGGGACACGCCGAGGAGCAGTAGAGGGACGCAGAGTCATGTAGTGAGTGCCTGGGACAGGAGGAGGACGCTCACGACGGACACGACTACCAGTGCGAGCAGGACGAACAGGCGACGCAGGACGAGACGCAGGCTCACGACGCTCTGTAAGACCTCCTGTGGGACCAGCGTAAGGAGAGGGAGCAGGGAGAGGCAAGGCAGGCGGTAACTGTGACTGCGGCTGGACAGGCGGAGGACACTCTACGGAGGGAGGAGGACAAGGAGGAGGAGCCTGCCCAAGAACCTGCTGAAGGAGCGGTACGAAGTACGGTCGCGGCCGCGCAGCGTCTCCAGAAGCAGAAGAGACTCCAGCGGCCGGGTCCTCAGGACCAGCAGGAGCTCCAACGTCCGGGTCCCCAGCACCAGCAGCAGCGCCACCGCTCGGGTCCTCAGCTCCAGCAGCAGCTCCACCAGGCGGGTCCGCAGCACCAGCAGCAGCGCCACCCCCAGAGTCGGCAGCTCCAACTCCGCTAGCACCGCCAGCGCCAGAGTCCCCAGCTCCAGCAGCTCCAGTCGCAGTGCTCCCAGAACAACCAGTCCCGGCAGCTCCAGTATCCCCAGTACGAGCAGCCCCAGCACCCCCAACTCCAGCCGAGCCACTAGGACGGCGAAAGCGCCGGACGTACCAGTCACGAAGCTGCTGCGGTGTGAGAGACTGCTCAGCACCCCGAACCGGAGCACCCCCAGACGCAGTAACCCGAGGCTCCGTAGGCTCAGTAGCAGCACCCCCAGGCTCAGTACCCGCAGGCTCAGTACCCGCAGGCTCAGCACCCCCAGTCGCAGCACCCCCAGGCTCAGCACCCCCAGGCGGCAAACTCTCAGGCACAGTACCCTCAGCTCCAGCACCCGCAGTCCCAGCACTCCCAGGCCCCGCACCCGCAGGCTCAGCACCCCCAGGCTCAGCACCCCCAGGCTCAGCACCCCCAGGCTCAGCACTCCCAGCAGCACCACCCGCAGCAGCACCTGAGTCACCTGTGACCTCGACAGGCTCAGCGACGGGAGGAGGGTCTACCTGAGAGACACCTGAAGGAGCAGGACCCTGAGGGGGAAGGGGGTCTACCGGAGGGGGACCAGGAGCAAGGAAAAGCGGTGGGGGAGGGAGGGGGGCAGTGCGGTAGGGGAAGAGACGGTAAAAAGGGACCGACTCGTCAAAGGTGACATCCTGAGAGGCGAAGACCCGGCGCGAGGTGGGGTGGTAAAACTGCCAGCCAGGCGCGTCAGGGACAAAGCCAAGGAAGACACAGGGAAGCGTGCGGGAGGAGAGCTTGTCCGCGGACGTATCGCGGACAAGGGCACGAGCACCCCACACCCGGAAGCGCGACGCATCGCCAACCTCCCCCGTCCAACGCAGTGTGGGCGAGGTCTCCGGCAAGGAGACACGGGGCCAGAGGTTGAGCTGATGCGCGGCGTACCGGACAGCAAACGGCCACAGAAAATGGGGAGCCGCCGCGTGGACCAAGGAGGTACGAGCGACCTCCATGACCAGGCCAATGCGGCGCTCAGCAACCCCATTCTGCTGTGGGGAGTCCGGAAGCGTGAAGGTCTGCTCGATGCCCTCCGCCTGACAGAAGGTCCTCAAGAGATCGGAGGAAAACTCACCACCTCTGTCAGAGTGCAGACGCAGGACAGGAAGGTCCGTCCGGAAACGGCGGCGGAGCTGGAGACGAACCGTGCGGATCCAAGGGATCAGAACAGCAGGGACCTCACCCTTGGTGCGCAAGGGGAAGACCGTGGTGTAACGCGAGTAGTCGTCGACAACCAGCAAAAAGTACCGCTCACCGCCCTGACCACGAACGCGGGCTGGGCCCCACACGTCCAGGTGGAGGGTCTGCAGAGGAGCCTCTGTCGGGGGGAACGAGGAGGAGTGAGGAGCGGCGCGCTGCCGCCCCTCGACGCAAGGAAGGCAAGGCGGCGCAGGCGAGGCAGGGAGGGGAGGGAGGGACCTGG